GCAGCCCCGCCACCTCCGCCGCATCGCTCGACCCGGCGGGCGCCTCCGCGCCGCTCCGCAGGTCCGCCTCCTCCCCGGCGGAGCTGGCGTGCTGCGAGGTCTCGAGGTCTCGAGGTCTCCTCTCAGCGCCTCTCCTCTGCTCAGGTCGGGATCCTTCTCGGTCGACCTCGCCGCAGCCCTCAAGGCGCAGCGGGCGAGTGCGGCACGTCGAGAGGACACGCCCAGGACATGTCCGGGACGCGTCTCTAGGCGGAGGTGCAGCAGGCGAGCGCGGAGGCGAGCGCGGCAGGTGCAGTCGGGGCTGGCGGCTACTCCTGCACCAACTGGGCCATCCCTCGGCTCGGCGACCTCTTCGGCGAGGCGGCGCGATCGCCCTTCGCGCCGCGGCGCGAGCCGCTCTACAGCCCTCCGCCCTTCAGCCCCGGCGCCGGCTGCTCGAGCGGCGCGTCGTCGGCGCTCGGCTCGCCTTACCGGCAGCCGCCGCCGCCCGCTGCCCGCTCGCACCAGCCGGGCGGTGCAGCACCGGCCCCGCTGCTCGAGCCGCTGCTTCCGCAGGGCGGGGGAGGAGGGGGAGGAGGGGGGGGAGGGGGCGACGTCGAGGCGGCGCGCGGCGCAAAGGGGTGCGGCGCGGGTCCTGACTGGAGCACTCCTGCGGACATCTCTGCGCTCGAGGTGGGCACTTCCTAGACACTTCCTAGACACGTCCTAGACACGTCCTAGACACGTCCTCTGCGCTCGAGGTGGGCGCCCCTCCGCACGCGCCTCGGCTGTGAAGGAGAGCTCACCTGAGCCCCCACTCGGGCCCGCGCGAGCAGGTCGCCCAGCTCTGCACCCTCTTCCTCGGCTGGAGGTCGCGCGCAGCTTGGATCGGCGCCGTCTGCTCGCTGCACCTGGCGCACCCACACGCGCCCTCTGCGCCGCCCGTGTACGGCGTCTCTTCACGGCGGCCGCTGCGAGCAGGCGGCGATGTGGACCTGCTGCGCCATCTGGGTTGCAACGGCGCACGCCTCGCTCGGCTACCCGCCCAGCCTCGACCCGACCGCCTCTCCTGGCCCGCTCCTCGCCCTGTGCGCCTCCGTCCTGCTGCCGCTCTGCGCGCTGCAGGCGGGAGGGCGGCGGATCCCCCGCTGCCTCGGGACGCGTCCACGACACGTCCGCAAGCTGCCTCTGCAGGCGAGGGGCTCCGGCTCGACCGCGCACGTGCAGGGCCAGCTTGCCGTCGCCACCCTCGGCACCGCCCTCCTGGCCGGAAGTCGTTCCCTCGCACCTCCCGGACACGTCGTGGACCTGTCCCGTAGGCACCCTCCTCCTGATGGTTGCGACGCTCGCGTCTGCGCTCGCCCTCGCCGCCGCCGACCCCTCCGCGCCGCGCCTCTTTGCCTCGCCGCGCACCCGGCGCTCCTCCGCCCAGCCGCATGACACGCCCATGGCACGACACGTCCACGACACGCCCGCCTCACGCGGCACTCCCCCGAGCCTGATGGCACGCCCATGACCATGGTCCCCCCCCCCCCCCCGGCCCCCTCCCCACAGGCACTCCGGCTCCGTCCAGCCGCTCGTCGACCTGCAGGGCTACAGCGGCGCGCTGCCAACCTTCCTCTTCTCGCACATTGTGCAGCAGTCCGTCCCCTCGCTCCGCCGCGCCGCCGCGGCGCCCGAAGCGACGCGCGCTGCGCTCAGCGGCGCGCTGGCGGCGTGCTGCGCGCTCTACCTGCTCCTCGGCTGCCTCGCCGCCTCCTACTTTGGACCCGACACCGCCCCGCTCGTGACGCTCAACTTTGAGCTCTTCACGGGCGGCGCGCCCGCAGGCACGGCGCGCCCGCTCTGGGCGCGTGTCGTGGCGGGCTGGGTGACGCTGCTGCCGCTCCTCACGACGACCGCCGCCTTCCCGCTCTTCAACGGCGTACTGGCCGCCAACCTCGTGCACGCTCTACCACCCAAGCTCGCGACGCCCACCGTCGCCGCCGCGCTCTGCGCGCTGCCGCCGCTGCTGCTAACCGGCGCCGTCACCGACACGACCTTCCTCTTCCAGCTCTGCGGCCTCTCGGGGTTCGCCATCGTCTTCTTCGTGCCCGCGGCGCTGCAGCACGCCTCGCTGCGCGCCTCAGTGGCGCGCTGGGGCGAGGTGGGCCGCGCGCCACGCCTTCTTCAGCGCATTGTCCGAGCGTCGCGTGAGCCTTGCGTTGCTCTCTCCTTAGGCGGGCCGCGACACGCCCCACTCGACTTGCTTCTCGGGCGCGAGGCCGGTCCTCGCCGTCGTCGCCCTCGGCGGCGCAGCCTTTGCCCAAAACGCGTGGACGCTGCTCCTCCGGCCTCTCCTCGCCAGCCTCGTCGGCGCGGCGCCCGGCCTCTGAGGCCTCACCACGGCACGCCTACCCAGAACCACCCTAACCCCCCCCGCTACACACTCAGTCCTGGGTCCGCGTTTCGACCGACCCCGCCGCGCCGCTGCACTCGTCGGGCCGGTCCTCTGCACTTATCAACACACACTCTCACTCACCATCGACCGAACGAAGCCTCTGCACACGGCGTCAGACTAGAGGAGGTTAAAACTCCCTTTGTTCTCTCTCATAAAATCTCTGTAGAGCTGTAGAGCTCTACATCCGCCGCGGGACGAAGCGCCTCCGTTGTACTGGTTTTGTTGTAGAGCGCGATTTTGCTGTAGAGTCGTTTGTTGTAGAGGCTCTACAGCCAAACCGCCGGGAAGGCAGTGCCAGTGGCTCAAAGAGGTCGAGCCCCGCGCTAATGGGGTGTCTCCGAGCTTACTGGAGCTCTGATGGACAGCCCTGACTATCCCCTGACACAGAGAGAGAGTCACTCCGACGCGGCACACAACACCCTATAACTGCGTCATGACCAGCCTGCCATGTGATGTGTCGCCGGTGCCGCATTCGTCGCTGTGCTTCTTTAGCAGGCGGTGGGCTGTCGGCTGCGAGGACGGTCGCATTTGCGCGAGGCGAGGCGAGCATTCAGACGCGTTGCATGCGCCATGACTCGCGCCAGCGTGTGCGGGAGCTCCTGGCTGAGCGTTGAGTCCAGGCGAGTTGCGCTGGCCACTATCGCTACGCCGAGCCGAGCTGACGCGCCGAGGCGCCGGCCAGTCGCAGCCGTGAGGCATGCCATAGCAGCAGAGGCACCTGCCACCCATTGAGCGGGCAGGCAGAAGGCCAGGGCAGCACTGGCAAATGCAACGCGCCTCATGTCGGAGAGCGACCGTGCCTCGTTCGCCGCTTATGATGCAGAGTTTGTTGTAGAGATTTCACGTTGAAAAGCGCCTCTACATCGCTAGAAATGTGGTCCTTGCGCGAGGGGAGCTTGATAGACTCGAGGGGCCAGGATACGCCGCGAGGAGGACGGAGTTGCGCAAGGCGAAAGAAGCCGCGAGAACAAGGGACCGGCAGGCGGCGGCGTCGCAGGACGAGGCAGAAGAGAACGACGCGACAGAGGAGGAAGTGACAAGGGAGAGACCGACGAGAGTGGGACGGCCGCGAGGTGGCATGAAGGTTGCAGCGAGAAGCGGCGAGAGACTGCGAAAAGAGATACGAAGAGGCAGACTCCCCAGGGTGGGCGACGGCTAGCGCACCACACTCCTCTCCTTAAAATCCCTGTGTGGTGGCGGCGTGCCGTTCTCCCATCCCTCCCTTGGGTTGTGTGTTTTCTTTCTTTCTTTTACATCGCTCTACAACGGAGGCGCATCGTCACGCGCCGGATGTAGAGCTCTACAGCTCTACAGCGCTCCAGAGCGCTCTACATCTCTACAGCTCTACAGCGCTCTACACTCTACATCCTCTACACCCTCCCTCAGCGTGCATAAGCCCCTGCTCGCCCAGGACCACGAAGCGCCGCCCGCGCGCCCATTGACCCCCCAATCAGCCCTCTTGCTGTCCCTCAATCGCCACCCGCCAGACGGACGCAGACGTACTGCCCTCGCCCACCCAACACTCTCACCCTCCTGACCCGGACAGTCCAGGTACAGGAAAAGCGGGGAGCGGGGCCCGATCCAAGGAGCACCCCGTCGGCCCGGGAGGGCTGTGAATTTCGGCGCGGGCGGAAGGCTGCCTGCAGACGCTCAGCCCCCAGCTGAGCTGCCGAATCCTCCCGGCTAATCCCCTGACCTGCCGCCTGAAACGGGACAACATTACACCACCTCACACACACACACCCCTCAGGGCTAAGCAGTGCGCAAGTCCACCCGAACTCTAGGCGAGGCGTCGACCACTCCTTCGGAATAGCTCTGTCAGTGGCTGCACTAGACGCCCAGAGATGGCGCGCGGCGCGGGCGGATGACTGGAAGAGAAAATGCGGAGATGCTAGCTCGCAGGTAGATGTGCTCAGCCAAGGGCAGGGGATGAGGGGAATGTGTCAGTGTGAGGGGTGCACCAACCGCAGAGCGTTGTGTTTTGCCTTTGAACGTTTTATTTTCGCTCAGCGTGCATGAAGGCCCCGCCCCTGGCCACTGTCTTTTCTGGCTGTCTCGGCGTTGTTGTCCAGCGTTGCAACAGACGACAGGAAGTAACATGCGAGGCTAGAGCAGGCTTGCTCCGGAGCAATAAGCGCGCACGCGCAAACGCTTTTTTTGTTTTTTGGCCTCCCCCCCCCCCCCCCGCCCCTCCACCCCTCTTCGACCGCTGAAGCATGGGCGTCGTGGTGGTCGGCAGCGCGAACGTCGACCTCGTCACCAACGCGCCGCGCTTTGCCGAGCCGGGCGAGACGCTGATGGCGACCCAGTTCGAGCAGCTGTTCGGCGGCAAGGGTGCTAACCAGGCGGTGGCCGCCTCACTCCTCGGCAGCTCCGTGTTCATGGTGGCCAAGCTGGGAACGGACAGCCTTGGGGAGGCCTCCATCGCCAATTTTCACTCCCTCGGCGTCGACACCTCGCACGTCACCACCACCGGCGCCGCCGCCAGCGGCGTGGCGCAGATCACGGTCGCCGCGAGCGGCCAGAACCAGATCCTCATCGTGCCGGGCGCAAACGGCGAGCTCTGCGCCGCCGACATCGACGCGGCGGCGCCCGCCTTTGCGGCCTCGCGCGTCCTGCTCACCCAGCTCGAGGTGCCCGTGCCGGCCACGCTGGCCGCGCTCAAGGCGGGTCGCGCCGCCGGCCTGACGACCGTCTTCAACTCGGCTCCGGCGCCGACCGAGCCGCTGCCGGACGAGCTGTACCCGCTGTGCGACGTGGTCTGCCCCAATGAGACGGAGACTGCGCTGCTGACGGGCGAGACGGCCCTAGCGAGGAGTGGCCACCTCCTCCTCCCCTCCCCGCGACGCTTCCGGGAGCCTTCCTGCAGGCATGCCGACCGACACGATCGAGGAGTGCGAGGCTGCGGCGCGTGCCATCCTGGCAAAGGGGTCCGGCGCGGTGGTGATGACGCTCGGCGGGAGAGGCCGCCGTGCTCGTGCTGCCTGGCCCGCCGGCTGCGGACAGCGTCTCTCCACAGGGTCTGCTGCGAGTAGGCTGCATGCTCGTGCTGCCTGGCCAGCCGGCGACGCACGTGCAGGTGCCGCCCCACCTCCGCGCCGAGAGCGTCGCCGACACGACTGGCGCGGGGGACGGGTTCCTCGGTGAGCAAGCCTGTACTCAGCACGCAACCCCACGCCTCGTCCACGATAGCGCCCCGCCCACGCCACCAGCCCGCGCCAGGCTACCCCCAGCCCTCACCCGCCCGCGCCAGGCGCGCTCGCTCACCTTATGGCCTCGTGCGGCAAGCCACTCGCGGAGGCGCTGCCCGGGGCTGTCCACGTCGCGTCCATCTCGGTGCAGCGGCGGGGCGCGCAGTCCTCGTACCCGCTCGCCGCCGAGCTGCCGCCGGACATCTTCGGAGTCGAAGCCGGAGACGGCGAGCCCAAGGCGGCCCCTGCGCCGCTCGCCAAGCAGCAAACCGAGGCCGCGCCGCGCCGGTCGCACCACCGCTCCAGGCTCGCAGCGGCGGCCGGCTGGCACGCGGTGGACACGCTCGTCACGTCTGGCATGGTGCTCGGGGTGGGCACGGGTGGCGCGGCCTAGAGCGGAGCCTTCTATCCTCAGCTCCTCCCCGCGGCGTCCTAGACCGTCCTGCAGCTCTTCCCCAGACGCGTTCTACGTTGTTCGTGCGCAGCGCAGGCGGAGCTAGGCCAGCCCTGCCCAGGACCGGCCAGCCCCGACTCGCAGGTTCGACGGTCGGCTTCGTGCTCGAGCGGCTCGCCGAGCGAATCAAGAGCGGCGAGCTGTCCGGCATCAGCGCGGTGCCAACCTCGGACAAGACCGAGGCGGAGCTGCACCGGCTTGGCATCCCCTGCCTCAAGGCTAGGCACTTTCTAGACGCCTTCTAGACGCTCTCCTAGACGGCTGGCATCCCCTGCCTCGAGGCTGCCCAATCCTCTGCCTCATGGCGGGGGGCGGTCCGCTCTCTGCCGTCGCACCCCTCCCTCCTCCCGCCCACAGGCCGAGAGCACCGCCTCGATCGACCTTGCGATCGGGTCGGCCGACGCCGTCGACCGGGACCGCAACGTCGTCAAGGGCGGCAAGGGAAGCCTTGCTGCGGAGAGAGGCTCGTCCAGGAGGTGATGGCGCACTCACGTTCTGCTGCTGTGAGCAGGTGCGCTCCTGCGCGAGAAGCTGGTGCAAGACGCGGCGAAGAAGATGGTCCGCCGACGCAGCGAAGATGGTCCCGCTGTGCTGTGCGTCTCTTTTCACGCTTGCGGGTGTGAGCAGGTGGTGTGCGTGGACGAGTCCAAGCTCTGCGACAGGGTGGGGCGCCTCGTACCCGGCCCAGACGTCGCCAGAGCTCACCCGAGTTCGCCCGAGTAGGTGGGCACCTCGTACCCGATCCCGGTCGAGATCACCCCCACCTTTGCACAGCGAACCGTGCGGCGGATAGCGGCGCTGCCGCCGCTCGCCGGCTGCAACGCGCGGATCCGGAAGGGTAGCGCGCCCGCGGGGCTGCCCGGCGCCAACGACAGCCTGATGCCCTTCACGACGGACAATGGCGTGGCCTCGTCGCTGGTGCAGCAACCTGTGGAGCGCGCCTCTTCACATGTGGCCGTGAACAGGCAACCTGATCGTCGACATCGACCTCAAGGCCCCGCTCGCTGACCCGGCCGCGGCGGCGGAGCAGCTCACAAAGGCGGTGGGCGTGCTCGAGCACGGCCTCTTCCTTGCGCGCGAGTCGACGGTCGTGTTTGTCGCGAAGATTGACGGGAGTGTGGCGCAGCTGTGAGGGTGAGGGGGGGCGCTGGGAGAGTTTTTGAGGGTCCAGATCATGCATCATGGTCGCAGTCAGATAGGGAGATTGGGGACGAGAGGCCCAGCCGCAGTTTACGCGCTAGGTGGGGGACTAGCTGCAAAAATGGAGCTCGGCTAGGGTTGCGCACAGCGAACAGGAGGTCAGGAGCGAGTTCGCGCTGGCCGACTAGTCGCGAGAGAGTGTGGTATTTCTTGGCTGCGTTGGCTCGCCAAAAGTAAATGTGCTCTATGGCGCTGACTCTGGCAGTGCTGAGCCCTGGCTGTCAGGCTGTCAGGTG